CCGTCGCGCGGCCTCCTTCCCGAGCCGCGGCCCGCGTCCCGCTTCTCCATGGCGACGCCGGGCCGCAGGCCCGCCGTGCGGACGACGAGCGTGCCCGGCGCGGACGCGTCGGGCGCCGGGATCCGGAGCGCCTCGAGCAGGACGCCGACGTCGTGCTTCGCGACCGTGCCGGACATCGCGTAGACCGGCGGCGGGGCCTTGGGCGCGCCCTTGGTCGCGATCGACCGGATGACGACGCCCTGCCGGGCCTGCGACTCGCGGTAGGACCCTGCCACGCCGGCCTCGTCGTCGGCCTCGTCGATGACGAAGCAGGACACCCAGCCCCGCGACGTCGCGTGGACGAGCCAGGTCGCGACGGTGCCGAGTATATTCGGGGTCAGGACCATGATGCCCAGGTCGACGACGCTGTCCTCGACGGCCTGCAGGACGTGGTGCCGCGCCCGCGGGGCGGCCGTCGCGTCCTCGTCGCCCGGCCCGAGGAAGACGACGTCGCAGCTCTTCCGCTTCTCGCCGCGGGCGGCGACGTAGACCGCGAACTTCCCGCCGCGGCCCGCCCAGGAGCTCGCGTAGCGGCCGTTGAGGTTGCGGACCATGTCCTCGCAGAGGAGCTGGGTCGGGCAGACCCAGACGGCGAACGCGACGCCCCCGCGCTGGCGCGCCTCGAGGGCCCGCGCCGCGGCGAAGAGCGCCGCCGGGGCCGACTTGCCGAGGCCGCAGGGCACGGCGACCAAGACGTCGCGCTGCGACGTGAGCGCCGCGAGGGCGCTCGCCTGGAACCGCCTCGGGACCTCGCCGTCGCGGAAGTACCGCCGCGCGAAGCTCGTCGCGTCGCAGAAGGGCTCCCGCAGCCCGTCCCAGCCGTCGTCCGCGGGGCCCAGGACGCGCGCGTCCGTGGCGCGCGCGCGCACCCGCTCGGCGACGTCCAGCTGCGCGCGCAGCACGTCGCAGCAGTCGCGGTAGGCGCGGAGCAGGTCGCCGACGTCGGCGTCGGGACCTTGCTCGACCCGAACGGCGTCCCGGACGGCGTCGCCCATGGCGTCGAGCGCTCGCACGAGCTGGTCGTGCTCGCAGATCCCGTCCGCCGCCGGCGTCGAGGCCGAGGAGGCCGCCGACGCGGCCGACGCGCACGACCAGCGCCGCAGCACGGAGCTTCGCCGCGCGGACGGCGCGACGGCGCCGAGCCCGGCGAGCGAGTTCCGAAGCGCGTCGCCCGCGCCGCGCGGCGTCGAGCCCGATAGAGCGCGTCGCGGCGCCCGCCGCGCTGGGC